GAAGAAGGTGGCCGCCGGACTGTAGCGTCGTCTTCCAAGAAGAAACAAATAGCCACCGGAGTTGAGTTTCCGACGTGCCGGAGAAGAAGGATTAAGGCTGCCGCAGTTGCACAACTTAGTCAACGCCGTCGTGTACCGCCATCACTGCACACCTTCGCCACCGGGGCAAAACGCCATCGCTGAATCATTTCCCTGGTTCGCCGGTCTGCCGCACCACTGAAGACAAGAGATGGACACTTCGTTGGAACTCGCCGATTCCCCTTCTGTTGCTCGACGAAGAGAACACCGGAAGAAGAACGACTTGGAGGGATATCACCGGCGATAAGCTCTGTGCACACCTGCGGCTGCGTTCATCCAGTGAGGACGATGAAGATATTGTCCAAGTACGCTGGTTCTTTTAACTCCGTATTATTTTATCTCAATGGGCTAGAGTTTTAAGTTGCGCTAGATTTAATCTGGGTCATCCACAAAACATTGGAATATTATTAGTAAAATCTGGACAGAAATGATAAACTGGTATTTGAGCCAGCGAATCTGAATAAGGAAATTTGATCCCCAGATTGTTAATAATAATGGGATGATTTAACATGACTAGACTATAATAAATTATTAACATGGAGAATTTATAAATAAAGGGGTAGAAGAATCCAATTATAATTTGGATAATACATTGATTTGTGAATTTTAATAGAAGGTGGTTTAGGTGTGGAACAAAGTAGAAGATTTCACTAGGACTACTTGGAGTTTGAGGTAAGTTTCTCTGTCAATCCAAATTTTTTTTCCTCGTATTATATGCTTACTATGCATTATGTGATTAAGTGTGAATTGTGAATTTTGTGTATGTGGTTTTGAGGAGATATTATATATATGGTAGCTGAGAAATATAAATTAAGTACTTTTGGGGTATTAAATATTTTTAAATACCTTGAGACTTTTTAGAGAAATTGGGAAGTATTTTTGAAGTATTAATTGAAGATAAAATTTACATTTTTATAAGAAGTGAGCATCTCAGGAGTAATCCGAGGTGTCGGTTTTCCACATCCGGATAAATGTGGAGGGTGATTAGGGCTGCTACTACTAAGAAGTACAGTTTGAGTTTGAAGTGACATTTGGATCTATGATCCCTTTTTTAAGAAGAAGTTATAGTAGTAGTCCCTAATCTTTCAAGAATTTTAAAGGTGGGGTGGTTGGGTTCCGACCACTCGGGATGACTTACTACTCGGAGGGCTTGAAATCCCTTTTAGGGGGTGTGCACACTTAAGGTAGTCGTTTCGTTTCCGCAAGAGCAGTTGTGGTACCGGCATTTGTTCGGGGTGGCCGTCCGTAACCACGGTCCACCGGGCTCAGTCGAAAGGTTGAGCACCGCCCTTCTAAATTACTAGGAAGATAGAGAAGAAGTGATTTTCTTAAGAAATTTAAAGAGAAGAATTACTATGATATTTTCTAAGAGAAGTTGAGAATTTTAGCAAAGAAGTGATTTTAAGAAAAATCAAAGAGAAAAGTATTTTGGTGGAGTGCGTCATTTTTATATAATATTATATGAAAAACTATTTTCTCCAAACCTGATTATTTTACGGGGTTGGGTAGTACTTACTTAGCTCTAAAGCTAATTTTTGTTTTCTTTCTTTTGTTTTGTTTCTGCACTTTATTTGTGCATGTGATGATGGTTATGTTGATTGCTGAATGCATGCGCCTAAGAGCGAATTAGAAGTTGCCTTAGTTAAATATAGTCATGAAATAAACATTTATTTCTTTTTATTGTTTTGTTTTAGTTGCCTGTGCATCCGGTTGAGAGATGACCGGATGTGGCGGTAACACTCATTTCCTATTTTAGACTTCCGCTGTAATTCTTCAACTCTTTGATGAATGAATAAAGTATTTCTTTGAATAAATCATTATGTAAATGTATTTTTGGATGGGAAAAATGGGGGTGTTACAGTAATTTTCATCTTTTTAATTAATGACAATTATTTCTATTCATCTCAATTCTCTTGATTCTTCAATCATGAGTCGGGAGTAGTTTTAATTAGGCATTTGGGATTGATAAAGGGGTTAATCACGATGTATGCGCAAATTATACCGTGGGATCGGCACACCGTGTGCACGATGTGCCGATCCGTAAACAGTGTCGTTTTAATTAAAATCAGTTATCTTCTTCCTTGCCAACTATCGAAGCATGCCGTTCACCCCCTAGCAGATTGGATTTGGAGCCATGGAAAAGTGTCGAAGCCTGAAGAGAAAGCTTCGTTATCTGGGGAAGAGCTCCTATGAAGTGTTCCGGCTTGTAATACCAGTATGCCTATTTACAAGAGACCCTGATAGAGTATATCTAGAGATAAGTGAGAGCTAGAGAGAGAAGTGCAATAATATGCTTCAATAGAATGATTTTGTAACCCCTATAACTACTCCCAAGGGGAGTATTTATAGAGAAAATTAGGGTTGGGCTCCCAAGCCTTGGGCTTGGGAGGCCCATTTACAACTGGACCGCTACTGGGCCGAATACAAAGCCTCTAATGGGCTGTACAAATGAGTAAGTATAGAATCCGATTCTGGGAGGTCTTCGTGGCCGACGAGGGCGTGGCCGACGAGGGCACGGCCGACGAGGGCGCGGCCGACGAGGGCACCCGAGTTCCTTGGGCTCAGGACCGTAATCTGAGTTGGCCCCTTTTCGGCCGACGGGGGCGTCTTGGCCGACGAGGGTGCCACTCTGTTGTCTTGTGCTTTCTGTTCTTCCGAGTATGTGGGTCCTGGGGCTCAGACCCATATACTCCATCAGGAGTCCCCCACTCTCTAAGCTGAGACGTAGGCGAAGTGAAGAAGAGTAGATTTCTGTGCTTTGTGCTTTTGGCCGACGCGGGCATTTCCAGGCCGTTAGCCGTTGCGGTATTGGCGCTGTTTCCATTTTGGTGATCCTGTTATGGGCTTTGGCCGTTACCTGCTCCTCGCTGTGGGCGGGGAGGCCGTCATTTCCTTGACGTGTTCGTTTGAGGACGATGAGTGTCTTGTTCCGATGTCGGCCGTTGAAGGCGCGCTTTCCCTTTCCTGGACGTTGGTGGTTGAAGTTTATGTTTGGGCCGGTGAGGTTGTTCCTTGCTTTGAGGACGATGGCGTCCTTTCCTTTGGGTGGCCGATGAGGGTGCTCGCGCACTCCTTTTGGCCGTTGCTGGTTGGCCTTCGTGTTCTTGGCCGAAGGGCCCGTCAAAATTAATTGTTGGCGGAGGACGATGAGTGTCCTTGCCTCTAGTGGCTTGTTGGCCGTCGCTAATGACGTTTTGGGCCTTTGGCCGATGAGGTTCCGTTGTGCTGTGTGGATGATGTGGCCATGTTTTGTGGTTACCTTGTTTATACTCTTTGTTTCGTTGAGGCCGGTGTAGTCCCCCAGTCCCCCACTGCTTCAGGCCGAGGAGTGCGAGGGGTGAAGGAGTTGCTTGAGTCCCTGGCCGAAGCGGCATCTCCGTAGTCCCCCTGAATCCAACTCTCATGGTGATTTTCTGGCCAAGGTAACCCTGTGGGAGAACCCTTGTGCGCAGATCGCTTGTAGAGAGTTATCATCAAGGGTTATTACGAGGAGCCGAAGGCTGTGGGCTATTTGTCCCCTTTGTTCTGTGGCCGTTACGTTCCTAGCCGTTGCCATCTTCTTATTGTTTGGCATTTGTGATCTTGGCGAGTAAGTGGGACGTTGTGGGCGCTTGCTGGCAGTTGTAAAGCCGCTGAGCGTGTGTAGGCCGTAGAGTCTGATTTGCCGGTGGGCCGTTGATATGGGTTGGTCCTGGCCCGTTGGTGACGTGGTGGCCTCCCAGTGGTGGCCGTTGATGTGGCCATTGGGAGAGTGCCACGTGTAGTGACCGTTGGGTGAGGGGTTCTATAAATACCCCTCCCCCTCCGACGAGGAAACGTATTTGCATTCTGAATTTGTCGAAGTGCTGGCCGATTTTCTAGAGAGATAAACTCCCAAGCCTGTTCTTCGTGTTCTTCGTTGTTTGAGGTTAGTGTTCATCACAATCTTCCTCACTTTTCATACTTTGCTTCCTAGGTAGTTGATCTAGTGTTAGGCGTTTGAACGCTCTTAGATCTTAAGTTATTCTCCTTAGGCCCGTAGTAGTAGTAATGAAGAGCTTGAACGACGACTACTACCCCTACGACGACCAGCCCTCCACGAGGTCGCTTGACTACGAGGTGCTCGAGGAGTTTGAGGAGGAGATAGAGCGTTTAAGTCCATACAAATCCGGAGAGCCAGTGGACGAGGAAGGCGAGGACGAGGAGTCCGCCTCCTCTTCAAAGGGTGAGGACGTAGGTGCGTCCCGAGTGGTGGACGGGGCGTCCACTTCTGCTGTCATTCCGTGCCCGAGGCCGGTGTCTGCCGTTAAGGGAGCCGCCAAGCCGAAGAGAGTGAGGAGGCCGAAGAGTGGACCCGGCATCTCCTATCTAGATCTCACCAACATCTACTTGATCAAGCCGGAGAGCAGTGCGGCCGACTATCTTGTTGCCCAAATGTACGTGGGGCCGTTCGGGCGGGTTAGGGCACCCAAGCCGACGGACCATGTTCTTCTTCCACCACCGGGGTACTTTGGAGTATACCCGATGAGTTTTGCCAAGGGGTTGAGGTTCCCCCTTCACCCTTTCATTACTGAGTACCTGGACATGGTAGGGCTTCCTCCGGCCTTGCTGACGCCGAACAGTTACTCTTTGATGGTGGGGTTTCTGCTTCGGTGTGAGGAGTTGGGCTACCGGCCGACGACGGCACTATTCATGAATTTGTACCAGATAGGCCGAGGAAGTCACAAGAACTGTGCGGCCTATGCTACTCTTCAGCAGCTGCCGAAGAAGAGGAGCTTCACGGATTTGCCTACGTCCATTCATGGGTGGAAGAGTAAGTTCGTGTTTGTGTCCATTGGTGAGAGTGGCACCGAGTTTCCCTCCCTCGGCCACACCGGGAGGTTTAACCTGCATGACCCGCCGAAGAGCTCTATTTTGGATGCTCAGGTGGAGGCTTTCTTGGAGGGGGGGCCGAGGAGCGTGAAGGATTACATCATTGAGTACAAGATGGCCGCCCTCGGCTTCGTGAGGTACTATGTCTATGGTGACAAGGAGGATGACCTCCAACTCTGGCCGAGGATGACCACCACCTTTGAGGAGGCCGACGGCCCGAACTTGGGCATTCCTGCTGAGGCCGATGGTAATTCTTTCTTCGGCTTTTTGTCTTTATGTTTTGTCCTTTGCCTTACTAATCTGTTTGTGTTTTTCCTTTGTAGATTTTGTCATGGACCGTCGATCCATGATGGCTATTGCCAAGGCCAAAGCGGCCGAGGAGATTGCTGCTAAGGCGGCCGAGGCGGCCAGACGTGCCGCGGCCGGTGGGAGCGGGGCTACTGCTGATGCGGCCCCAAAGCCTGCTCCTTCGAAGAAGAAAAGGCCGGCCACTGACGGCCAGAAAAAGTTGACTGAGGCCGGCGTGAACGTCTCTAAGAAGACGAAGAGGGCTCCTTCCCCTTCTCCGGCTAGTGAGGCCGGTACTCTTACTGTCCCCAGCGTGGGCAATGGTGGTCCAGTCGTGGACCTTACTGTTGCTGACGATGCTGCCCCATCGCTTCCTCTCGTCCAGGAACCACGGACGCAGAGGGCCGGCAAGGAGATTGCCGGTGCCACCTACCAGAAGGTGGTAGAATACCCCGTCGGCGGAGGCGTGTTTAATGAACTCGTCCCTGGCCACGTCGTCCTGGACAAGGCCATGCCGGCCAAAGATCCGGCTCACTTGAAGAAGCTCGAGGATCCGAAGATTTACGAGGGTGGCATGGACCTCCTCGTCCAAGTAAGTTACTGTCCTTATATTTTTGTTTCTCTCTTCGTCTGTGTAGAGTCTTTTGCCTGACCTTTGTTTTCCTTCTGAAGAGTGCCTTTATGCTTATGGAAAGCCATAAGAGGCAGTATTGGGAGATAGCTCGCTTGAAAGAGCTGGAGCAGAAGGCTGCTTCGGCCGACGAGGCGGTAGCTTGCCTTGACCGGCTCCGGGAGGATGCCAAGGCATTGCAGGCAAGGGCTGATGAAGCCGCCGCAGCCAGGGACGATGCCCTGGCCAAGCTCGAGGAGAGCAAAAGGGAGCTCGAGGAGTCCCACAGGGCGCTTGAGGCCGAGAGGCGCAGGAGCGAGGAGGCCGCCAAGGCGAAGGCTGAGGCCGAGGCCGCCGTCGTGAAGGCTGCCGATGAGGCCGTCGAGAAGTTCCTGGCCGAGGGGTGGAAGGCCGATGAGAGGCTCCCCTGGTGCTACGAGGTGGTGGCCGCCAGGCTTGAGAGCTGGGGGATGAACTCCCCCGCCGGCCAGGAGTATTTCACCCGGGAGATGTCTGTGTACTATAACCTGGGCCAGGAGCGGATGCAAAGGCTCCTGTGTCGGCGGCTGTCCCGGGCGTTGAAGGCCATGAATTACACGTCTGGGTGGGCTAGACGGAACCTGAAGCTGCCGAAGCTGATGAAGGATCCAGAAGAGCAGGCCAAGCTTCCGCTGTCGGAGCGAGAGTCCCCCATAGAAAGCTCCGGCCTCGGCGAGCCGGACTATACTGAATTCGACTTCTTAGATGATGCCACCAGCGCCGCTGCCGGCCAAGAAGCTGAGGCCGATGAGGCCGACGAGGAGGGAGCCGACGAGGTTGAAGAGCCCGCCGCGGATGAAGGTGCCCCGGAGGCTTGATCGGCTATTCACTACTGTAATTAGCTTTTCATTTGTTGCCAGATTATGTAACGGCCGAAGTGCCCCCCATTGTAATGAATTAATTGAATGAACGAATTTTTGTCATCCTTCTCGGCTTTGAATCCATTGTATGCTTGTTTGCCTTTTGTCCTTTCAATTCTGTAAATTGTCAGTGTCAAGTCATAACTTGGGTCACCCGCGAGTGTCCGCTACGTCCGTAAGGTTGGCCTTCCTGTCCAGTAGTCTGGTCGTCCTCTTTGCTTTACTATCATAACACTTAGGATTTTGTTTCAAAAATTTCCCAAGTGTTTTTGGGTCCATGTAGCTGCTGTCTTTACGGCCTAGTGGCTTGATCAGCTTGGACGTAGTTTCATAATACTTAGGAATTTCTTCAAAAATTTTCTAAGTGTTTTGGGATCCACTTAGGTGCTTTCCTTTCGGCCTGGTGGCCTTGTCGGCTTGACCGGTGTTCCTTTGCTATCATAACACTTAGGATTTTTTCAAAAAATTTCCTAAGTGTTTTTGATTCCTTTTAGGTGCTTCCCTTTTCAGCCTTGACCGTAGTGTCCGTTCCGTCCAGGCATTGGCGTCCTTATCGTCCTGGCCTTGGATTCATCCCAGGTGTTTTGGCCAGGGCCGTTGTCGGCTTGTATCCCTGTGTTCTGGCCGATAAGGGCACCTTCACCATAGTCTTGTGGACTTTGAATTTTTCACAAGTACACATGTAGAGGTGTAGGTAGCTAACGGCTTTGTAGTATACTGGTACCCGCTTCGGCTAGAATTCCTTCATTTGAGTACTTAGATAATTTCCTAAGTATAAATGTTAGGCATTTACTTCTTCGTGGTGCCACTGCCGGCCAAGGTCTGGCTTGTGGCCGATGAGGGTGCTGGATAAGGAATAGCTTGTCCAAGGAGATGGTCCTGCCTTCGTCGGCTGGCCATGGTTCCAGTGCCTGCGTCGGCCATCCGAGGTGCTGTGGCAAGTAGAGGTTGTTTCTTGATTACTTGATCCTTTCGCGGGTGTGATAAGTGCCCGCTTCGTCCTGGTCATCCTCAGGATTGCGATGCTTTGTTTCATACCAAACGTTGGTGCCTCAAAGGACTATGGCCGATGAAGGTCACCTCTCGCGTGTCACCCAACCGATGTGGTTAGGGTTTTAAAGGCGTGTGTATCGGCCTTGATTGTTCCCTCGTAGTGTGTGGACGTGTCGTCCTTGTTACCTGTCAGTGGTACTACACTTGTGTTTAACTGATATGTACTTGGCCTAGTTGGGCCTGAGTTGTGGGGATTTTATTTTTTCATCGCTCAAGGCCGGCAAGTGTGCGCGGCCGTCGGCTTCCCTCTTTTTCCCTTGTATATATTATTTTTTTTTTTTCGTTTCGGGGGATATCCTTCTTTCAGGCTTCGGTCGAAGGGTGTGCTCGTCCTTCGGCCGGTTCGGACTTCGTTTATAACGTCCGTGGTCTCAGGGCGGGTCCCGTCGCCTATTTATGACGCGGGCTAGACTTTTGGTCGGTTTCCAACGGCTGTCGTTGCACATCCCTGAGTTTTGGGATTTTGTCACCTCGGCCATGATTTCAGGCCTGTCGTCCTGCGTTCTGGCGCGTGGACGACGCGGTGAGCTTCCCGTTTCAAGATGTGGGCCGTTTGCGGGCCCCTCGTCCTGGGGACATCGTCGGCCATACCTGAGTGTTTCACTTCTAGGCTTACGGGGCCAGGACAATGTGCTCTCTCAGCTAGGCCTGAGCCTTTCGTTGATACAAAATACAATGGAGTGCCTGAGCTTGTCGCTCGTAGGCTGCAAATGCAAGGGGCCATGTCGGCCGGACCTGAGCCTTTCGCTCTAAGGTGGCCGACGAGGGCACCTGCTAATGTTTTACTTTGAATTTCCAGAGAAAAAATCAGAACATGATTTTATTCATAAGTGGCTCGAGGCCGAGGGTGGCGTTCAATCAGTAACCCGTTAAGGGGTGAGGGCTTCGCCGTCTGCACCTCCTTCGGATTACTGATAAAACTTCACCAGATGGTGTACATTCCACGTTCGTGGTACATTGGACCCATTCGGGCGTTTAAGCTTGTAGGTGCCGGGTTTGACCACGGCACTGACGATGTAGGGCCCTTCGTACTTCAATGCTAACTTGCCACCCTCTGTCGGCTGGTTTGCTTCCCTTCGGCGGAGGACGTAGTCCCCCACCTGAAATTCCCGGGAACGTACCTTGGCGTCATAGTATGATTTTACTTAACGCCGGTAGTTCTCTGCTCGGACGTAAGCTTGTTCACGCCTCTCATCAACCAGGTGTAGGTCAATCTTCATGTTCTCTTCGTTGGTGTCAGGCTCATATTGTTCCACCCGTCGGCTGGGGATGGCAACTTCCGTAGGCGCCTTTGCTTCAAAGCCGTAGCACAGGGCGAAAGGCGTTTCACCCGTCGCCCTCCTCGGCGTGGTTCTGTAGCACCACAGGATGTTGGGGAGCTCGTCGACCCAACTACCTCCTGCGGTCTGGAGTTTCTTCTTCAGCCCCTCCATTATTGTTCTGTTGGCGTTCTCGACCTGCCCATTGCCCTGAGGATAGGCAACGGAGGAGAAACGGTGCCTCACCCCAAACTCCCGGAGGAGCTCCTGGAAAGGGGCTGCCTCGAATTGGGTGCCGTTGTCTGATATAATCTCCTGGGGGACGCCAAAGCGTGTAATGATGCTCTTGTAAACAAATCTTTGGCATCTGGCCCCCGTGATGCTGGCCAAGGGTTCCGCCTCGACCCACTTGGTGAAGTAGTCGACGACGACGATGATGTAGCGGTTATTCCCGGCGGCTCTGGGCAGGTGGCCGACCAGGTCAATCCCCCATCTGGAGAATGGAATTGCGGTGCTGACAGGGGCATAATTGACAGCTGGCCGACCAGGGGCCTTCTGGAGTACCTGGCATGTGGTGCACTTCCTGGCCAGGTCAGCGCAGTCGCGTGCCATCGTCGGCCAGAAGAAACCCTGGACGACGAGACGCCGGGACATGCTGAAAGGGCCCTGGTGTGAGGAGCAGACGCCGTAATGAACTTCTTCCATGGCTGTGTCGGCCTTGTCCTGGTGCAGGCACCGGAGGAGAGTGCCATTATAGGACCGTTTGTAGAGTTTGCCATCTTCGATGGTGTAGCTTGGGGCCCTGAGTTTGGCGAGTTTGGCCCTCTCCTCGTCCGGGGGCAACTCCCCCGTTGTGATGAAGGTGGTGATGTCGGAGATCCAGTCCTCTGGTCGCTGTTGGACGCACAAGACGGGGCTGGCATGGATGCTGGACATGCTCAACTCCTCGATCTTGGCCAACTGGGAGATGTGCTCCGGGGTGTCCGAGCTGAGCTTGGAGAGGATGTCGGCTTCAGCGTTCTCGGCCCTTGGGATCTGAGTGATCTCGTGGGTTTCAAACGCTTTCAGCAATTCCTCCGCCGCCTGTTTGTACTGCTTCATCCGGCCTTCCTTTGCTTCGTACGATCCCTCCACCTGGCCCACTACCAGTTTGGAGTCGCATTTGATTCTGAGGTGCTTGGCCTTGAGGCCGGCGGCGAGTCTGAGACCGCTGAGGAGGGCCTCATACTCGGCTTCGTTTTTGGATACCCTGAAGTTGAAGCGGATGGCATAGTAGGCTCTGAATCCTTCAGGGGATATGAGGACGCCGCCGCCGCCGCATGATTTCGCGGCCGACGAGCCGTCAGTGAACAGGGTCCACGTGTCGACCGGCTCCGGCCCAGGGTTGGCGACGGCCGTCTCCCTTGCTGTGCATTCGATGACGAAGTCGGCCAAGGCTTGCCCTTTGATAGATGGCCTTGGCTTGATCTCAATCTGAAACTGGCTGAGGAAGATCGCCCATTTCACCATCCTCGAGGAGCTAGTGGGGCTCCTCATGAGCGCGCCGAGAGGCTGCTGGGTCAGCACATGGACGGTGTGGGCTTGGAAATAGTGCCCCAGCTTCTTCACGGTGTGGACGATGGCCAGCACCGTCTTCTCAATGGGGGAGTACCTGAGCTCGGCCTCCCTAAGTGTCTTGCTGATGTAGAAGATGGCCTTCTGCACCCCTTCGTCCTCACGGATGAGCACGGAGCTGATGGCCGATGTGCTCACCCCTAAGTACAGGAAGAGGGTTTCGCCGGCTTTGGGCTTGGAGAGTACGGGTGGGGACGACAGGTACCTTTTCAATTCGTCGAATGCTTCCTGGCACTCCGTCGTCCACTTGAAGCTGTTTGCCTTGCGCATGATCTGGAAGAAGGGGAGTGCCCTCTCAGCTGACCTGGAGAGGAACCGGTTTAAGGCCGCCAAGCGCCCCGTCAGTCGTTGTACCTCCTTGACGTTGCGGGGCGGCTCCATGTTGATGATAGCCTGCGTCTTCTCTGGGTTTATCTCGATGCCTCTCCGGCTGACCATGTAGCCGAGGAACTTGCCACCCTGGACGCCGAAGGCGCATTTCTTGGGGTTGAGCCGGAGCTTGAACTCCTTCATTATTTCAAAGATTTCCCGGAGGTCATCAGCGTGGGAGGTGGCCTGCCTGCTCTTGACGATCATGTCGTCGACGTACGCCTCCATCGTCCGGCCAAGGACCGCTCTGAAGATCTTGGCTACCATCCTAGTGTAGGTGGCGCCGGAGTTTTTGAGTCCGAAGGCCATGACGAGGTAGCAAAAGATTCCCTCTGGGGTCATGAATGCCGTCTTCTCGACGTCATCTTCGTGCATGGAGATCTGGTGGTACCCTCTGAAAGCGTCGAGGAACGACATCAACTCGCACCCCGCCGTCTCGTCCACCAGCTGATCAATGTTGGGGAGGGGGAACGGGTCCATGGGGCACGCCTTGTTCAGGTCAGTGTAGTCAACACACATTCTGAACGTCGGCGGTTTCTGTGCGAGGACGACGTTGGCCAACCATGTTGGGTACTTCACCTCTTTGATATGTTTGATCGATAGGAGCATGGCGACCTCCCCTTTGACGAAGTCCCGCCTGTCAGCGGACAAGTA